AAAAAAAAGACCAATACCATGATGTGATATTGACTTTGGAACAATAAGATGAAATGAAGAAACAGTTGAATCAGTTTGCACAACTTGCTCCCTTTGAGTCAGTAAGTCTTGAGTTCTGTCAAAAGCCTGTACATCTTTTGCCCTTCTGTTTCTTCATAAAAAGATGACATCAGAAGAGTCACACAAAATTCATTCTGACAGCACTTCTTTTTCTTTTTATACGCCATTTCAAGTTGATGATTCCTTGCTATTTAGCAAACATGGCTGCCAGTCTTTTGTGCACAATTTCCAGTGTCGATTTCGTCTGTTCGTCGAGATTATCCATTACCTCGTCCACGTTAGCTTCATTCAGTGCAATCATCTAAAATTGAAAGAACAGAAAATTGGACAAAGTCTGCTTTGTGTATAAAATACTTTCATAGTCAAGCTTTTCCAATTTCCAATAAAACAAAATATCAAATATATTACTTGATGAATAAAGATAGAACCCCCACTTTCCATCATGCATAGATGGCATAATTTTTTTTTCAATCTGTTCAAATTATTGACGAATGTTATACTGTGTCAACATTTTCCACTTGCTGCAATGAAAAACCTTCAAATACTACCTTATTTAAACATGCACATCATTTTGGTCTCATACTAGAAAATTAACTAAGGTCTCTTACTGAATCTTTCTTGTACTTCATAATATTTATTTTATTCCTTTATTTATTTATTTATTGCCAAAAGTTGAAGCCAGTCCAGATCGACCCTCCTCACTGACCTGTCCATCTCCCACAGGGAGGAAGACATCAGGCATGACTGGACCTTCTGGGGCCAGAGGACTGCCTGCCATGGAGTATTTCACCACGCTCGTCACTGTCTTCTCTCCCTCTCGCTGCTTACGCAGGACGGTGCCAGGGGTGTTTGGGAGTCTGAAATAGATAATTATTAAAAATTTGTGGTTGTCTTATCACTTTTCTCCTCTACTAAGTGTGATTATTGCATACAATTTGTTGAAAAATTGGATATGTTGCATATATTTAATTTCCCCTATTTCCAACCCACGAATCACCAAGAAAACAATGAATCTAAGACCGCTATCAGTATAGTACTTGGGTTTGATCTACAGCAAACATCTATCCTTTAGTCCTAGCAGTATCTGTAGTGGTGGAAACAGGACTGGATGTGGCCATTCAAAGCCAAATTTTAAGAAACAATTCGATACCAAAATATTTACCCCGAGTCAAATATTATTTGACAAAGTCAATAAATCATAATCACAGGTAGTATTTCCTGCTGTTTAAATAAGCTACCTGGTCGTCTGAGGCTGGAATCACGACAAAGTTGATCCACGGACTAACTAGTCTGCGGACCAAATATGGCACACACTTGACAATGGATTCCCGCCTCCCACACACACCATCCCAGAAGGGGCAGGGCAATTAAATCTTGCCATGTTTTAAAGTGGACCATACCATATTTGATCGGCAGACTAGTTAGTCTACGGATCAACTGTTCTGAATGTGCTCTGAATCAAACAGAGGCTATGACACTGGGTCAAGGTCATTAAGGAGGGGGGTCAAATAAAGGTCATTACTACCTGGGGTCAAACCTTGGGGTAAAGAGGGGAGTATCACAGGTGGTCTTTCCTCCAGCTCTACCAAAAGGTGTTTGGTAGCTTGCATTCTGTGTTGTCCTGGCTGTGGCCCTTCTGTAACAATTTGAAATGGTACCAAGTAAAAATTTGATAACTACAGTGTTAAGGTTTGAATTATTCTCAAATGATACAGTAAAATCAAGACTTCTTGTAAATATCACTGGGTAAATCCATGATAGTATTAACTGACACAGTACTTAAAACCAACAAGATTATCTGCTCCCTGAAAACTGTGAATGCCCCATGCAATGCCAAGGTCACATTGACCTAGTAGTCTTTATACCCATAGCACTCACTTATCAGACCTCTTCTTTCCATTTTTGGCTCATGTCATATTAACAATATATTTATTATTATTATTATTATTATTATTATCACCAGTTTCCTAAAAGTGGACCCAAGTCTTGATTGTAGTAAACTAAGGGTCATGAGTCACAATAACATACAACCTAATGTAATACTTATATCAATCTTTTTCATTTTTTAATCATAAACTTATAGACCCTTTGTTGTTTTACAGGATTGAAAAGCCTTTGTCTTTAATAAATTCAACTGAGTATACCTAGTTCTTCCTGTGGTGGGTGGAGGTGGAGGGGGCATGTTACTGGCATCTCCCAGCACCGCCTTTCCTCTGCGCGTTGGTTTCTGAAACAACAACAACAAAAATTTCATCATCGAAAGATTGCAAATTCTGTCAATAGATTTCCATAAGGTGCATGTATTCACGCATTTGATGTTCAAGTACTAGTATACCACCAAATCATTATCTAGTATACTTACCCACTGGACAATTACTCAAAATTAATCTGATAGCCTAGACATCTTGAAATGATCTGCAGAAAATCCTCAAGCAATACCTATTCAAAATTAAATGTTTTTGTATTCCCATGGAGAACACCTCAAAAACTTTTTTGTGACCCTATTTTTGAAGCTAGACCAGATTGAAAAGGTTTTTTTATGCAGAAATGTTTTGTGTAAGAGAATACAGGCAGCACACATAAAAACATTGGGAGTTGGGGAAAATATAATCTCAAAGTTTTTTATAGGTTGTTCAGTAAGCAGAAACTAATATATTTCTTATGTCAATAGTGTCTAACTGTATTTTTGTAAGGCTTTGGTATCTATCCTTACTGACCTTTTTGGTTGTGGTTTCTTCTTCCTCTTCTTCTATGGTAGCACATGTGCTAGATGTCTTGGAAACAGTTCTCAATCTCTGACAGCTTAACAAGATAAATATACATATATGGCATAATGTATAATCAGTATTATTTGCAATAACTGATATGTATGTATATAAGAAGGCTGTGGTCTAATGATGATAATAAATCATTATCAGTACAAAAAACGTCTGCACATTTTACTTTAGAGGATAAAATCTTTTGTAGAGGCACTTACTGTCTTGGGTAGATCAATCATTTAATCTTTTGTCATTCAGATAAAGCATTTAAGTTATATACAAAAATAAAATACCTTATGAACTCTTAAACTGAAGACAGGCCTCATGACTAAATATTTCTAAATGGCAAAAAGTTTCTTTCTACAGTATTTTGCATATCCTAGGGGACTCTTGACCCTTAGTGATGCCATTTTATTACTTACGAAAGTTTGGAATCTATGGTGGCTGAAAGCGTTCCTACAAGTTCCTCTGCCTCATGCATGCTGACTGCACTGATAGTACCACCAAGTTCTGGAAAATAAACACAAAGAAATGATATTTTTAAACAAAAGCCAAAATGGTGGGGAAAAAAACCCACAAATTTTACGTGTTACCTTCCTGAGCTTTAATACGATAGGCTTCTTGTTAAAATCACCATTCACAAACTGTTTAAAAATGCCTTTCCAACTTCCTTCAATTTTTACTTGAATTCTTACCATAAACTTGTACATTTAGTTGGAGAAAAATTTACTTAGTTGCTACTTACTGAGAAATTCTGATCTTTTCATGTCTCTTATATGCTGGAATAAAACAAAATATCAGTATTAGTATGAGATGCATTACAGCTGAGAACCTCAATCATTTGATCACTACATGCTGCAATAACTGAAGAAAGGCATCCAAACTTGAAAGTTAAAACTTATAGTAATTCTAAAAGACTTTTAAGTAGTGGTAATTGCAGTTATCATAGATTTGACCATTGTTATCTTTATAAAATGATGACTATCAAAACTAAATGCCATGAACAAAAATTAATTCAAGGAAAAATCATGTGCAATTCCTCAATTATTCTTAATATGTAGCAGACATGCGTATGAAAAATAAAAACTAAAACATTATACTGTGCTAATATCATTACTTTTATAAATGCTCCTATCTTAATGTCCATTATTTTATCTTAATTCATTTAGTTTTTCTTACTTTTGGCAGTTTGGTTAATTCCAACCTGTACAAACTCTCTATTTTCTGACAGTTCCTTTTGGCTTCAGCTCTCATCTTGGCAATACGATCCTTCACTGTAGGAAACAAAAGTAGATGATAATAACATATGACGCCTGTCAGTTTTGTAAAAAAAAAAAAAACAAACTTATACTGAATTTGTTCTATTGACTTTGGAGGTATCCCCATCATAATTTCCAAATACATTGAGAATAAAAATTTCAGAATGTTACGTGAACATGGGAGTTACTGTTTACACTAGGCTTTTTGGGAAGCAACTGTGCATGACTCTTATCTTGACACCATACACCTCTTAATTGTAGTGTAACAGTGACTGTGCATTTCACATTCCAATCAACTAGTGCTACATGTACTACTAACACAAATATACGATCCCCCCTCCCCCCTTAATGCTATGATAATTGTTTATATTGACATTCGCGGTAGAGACTTTCTGAACATGGACTTCACTCTTTATATCAATGGTCACAGCTAAAAATTTTAATGGAATCTGTTTTGTTTACCATGAACATCAAAGTCCTTCAAAAACAATTCCATCTTCGCTCTCCTTTCCTCAAGGGTCAGATCTTTTCCTTCGTCTCCAGATGGAGCCTTTGGCTTTGCCCTCGACACTGCCCTTGTTCTGCGTTTTCTGGGAGGCATTTTTCTTTTAATTCTATCAGATAAGCTGCAGTAATAATCAAATATTGTCCTCAACTTCGATTACACTGATGAAATTTACTTCCGCCGAAAATTTGAACAAAAACTAGGTCAACCAATCAAAAATGCTCACTTCGATCATGTGACCAATATGGCAGCCTCCATTGAGCTACCAGCAGGTTGATGTGAAAGAGATGCAGTTGAACGTTTTCCAATGTATTATGGCAAATTAAATGATGTTCAGTTTATTTAAAAGTGTATCTTCAAGCGCAGTAAGGTCGACTTTGTTCAAGGTATGCACGATTATGAAGCATGTCCAAGATGCTCGTAAACCAAGCTCGGGATCCAAAACGTTTGGGATCCAAGAGGCTAGACCAAACTTAGATTTTCTCAAGAAATACGGACCGAAGTAATGCCGAAATATCAGCAAGGGAGAGAAAACAGTTGTCTGATGCTAGTAAATGATAAATCACAAATTTATCATGGGCATTGTGTTATGTGGTTTTTGATGCAACGGCTGATCAAGGTGACAGCTGAATAGTCTAAACCCTAATGCTTTTATCTACAGTACATATCCACGCTCGGCTGTCACCTTGATTGGATAGTAAACGATTGTCGTTAAATCGCTAAATGATATAAAAACCAGGTGCATAAACTTGAAAACCACCTAGGACAACCTTGGACTGCCACATTAATTCAATACAATGCAAAAATAAACTATTACAAGTGGTTAAAGCCTTCAAGCCGAATGTCGTAAAGTCCCCATATACCTCCATAGAGATTATAATATAGAGTTTATGCACCCGGTTTTAATATCATTTAGCGATTTTACGACAATCGTTTACTATCCAATCAAGGTGACAGCCGAGCGTGTACATATCCATAATCGTATCCTGCGCATGTTATTATGATTATCATAAACTGCATATTTTTTCCAGATATTTAAGTGATATACCCCAATGCAAGCAGAGCTAGCTATTTGCCGCCAGCTTCAAAAGACATTTAAAACAATCCAAGAACAGAGCGAACAATGGAAACTGACTTTAGAAACTTGCCAGAAAGACATGACCTCCTTGGAAAACCTGGTTGAACAATACCAGTGCTGTGCCAAAGTTGATCTTCTTCAGACGCCACTGGCAGAGAGTTTTCCTGATATCAAGGAGAAGTTGTTATATAAGCTGCATGATGAAATGACAGACATGATTAATAGATTACAGGACATTCTGTAAGTTGAAATAACTGATGATGCATGAGCATGAGCCTGGTAATTAAAATAATTTTTTAAAAGGAAATAGAGTAAAAAGTTACCTTCAACAGCTACTTTGATAAAATTAAAATTATTAGTAAGCACTTGCTAAGTGTCAACGTGCAACATACCCCAAAATTCATTTAATATTGTTAAATCATCTAATCCCTTTCAACATGTGATTATATTCTTTATGTTATGTTCTCATTCAGTTCAGCACAAAATATTCTCAAGGATAAAGTGTCCCATCAGGCTGAACAGTGTATGGATTTATACAGCAAGTATGCAGGACAGTTAACTATGAAGAAGATGACGGAATGTTCACCTCTGTGGCCTTCCATGGCTACCATGTTACAGTGGGTGCAGGACTTTTCCAGGCTTTACAGGGAGGAGTATCCTTTGTAATAATTGTCAATCACTATTCTTTGCTAGTCATGATGAAATTAAAGTGTTTATTCACACCATGTGAATGAATCAGGGAGCAGAAGTTAACAGTGTTTTAGTTGGGAATTATATATTTATTAATGTTTCAGAAAAATGAATTATGTTTAAAATTGTGTCCATTATAATATTTGCTTTCACACTCATTAAACTATGCTCCTTACATTGCCATAGTATCCTATGTAAGCAGCATACTCTGGAAGTTTTCTCACCTGATAAACCTGAGGCAGTTTCTAGTCTTGTTGAGCACTGGAAAATGAACAAGATGCTCCAGCAACAAATGGAGGGTATGATTTTGGTCTTTTTTTCATTTCACATTGGTACAATTTCAATCAAGCCCCAAGAAAGACTTGTTTTGTCATGACAAAGAAACTGAGTTTAATTTTCAGAGACTTACATGTTAGAGCTGCTGATCAGTTGTATCATACAAACATGAAATGATAAGTGTCTCTTTTACATGATTTTTTTGTTTTTGTTCATAATGTTACATGTATGTTAGTTAGTATTAATTTTTGGTCCTTTACAGTGGTTAATAACTAAAGGAAAATAACCTTGCTTGACAAGATGCTGATTTGACAGCTTTTCAAGAAAACATTACAACACAATAGCAGTAATGTGTTGCAGTTATTTTTACCAGTTATTTTAATTTTATTATTATTATTATTATTTTCTATATAAAGATTTTGCGTTTAATTTCAGAGCTTCTCCCATTAGTAACATTCTTCCAACAAGAACAGTTTTGATGCCTGGGAAGAAATGAAGGAATTAAGGTGGAGTGTTTTTATCACAGCTATCAAACAAACAGCAGGCATGCAGTACAAAATGCAGGTACATTTTGCTAACTACTTTAGAGGGTATTCTATGGTTGTTTTCTGTGAAACCAATATTGCTGACTGAAGTTGCCTGCATGCCTCAGATGCCATGGGACTGTTAAAACAGGGAATGCACAAGCTGATCAGAAATTTTGGGTGCCTAATAAATGATGTCGAAAATTTGGTGCCAATTTTTAGGCTAATCTTTATTTTATTTTCGTTTTATTTGTGTATAATATGACATTCATAATGAACTGATGACATTTGTCCACAGAGCTGATACATAATCTGCCTTCATAGATGTCATTGTTTTCAAAGACTGTAAACACTGGTAATTTTTATCATTGATTCTGGCTCTGTTATTTGTAAAAGGTCAGTAACTATCAAAATAAAAAGACACAGTGCTGCCTGTAAGATTTCTTTTTTGATCCAAAATGTAGTTTATTTCTAACAAAAATGTGCTGGTGTCATTTTTCCATTTGATGTTTTCAATTCACACTGCTTTTTGATTGTCTCAGCAATTTATCCCCTTTTCTATCATGCTGTGGTCCAGGCTCATGTTCTAACAGACTAACACAGAGTATTAATTAGAATCTGAAAGATTCTGAGACCTTTTTATTGCAAATTAAAAACTTTAAAAGGTCAGTAAATACCAACATATGAAGACACTATGTGACACTGTATTAGATCTAAAATGATCTGAATTATTTTATCATTTGCTAATATAATAGTCATCATCTAATATTGATCTAAAATATTTCTAACAAAGTAGCACTTAAATGTGCATCTACAAAGTGTGAAAATGACAGCTGCAAAGTTTATAGTTTCTGATACATTGTAACAGTATTTGCTTAAATACAAAATGTATATATATATATATACCTGAGATAAAGTTAGTCAGACTAAGTCCATAAATGACAAAAATATAATATAATAATATAATATGCCAAATATAATAACAATAAGTGTGTTTGTTGCAAGAGTAAAAGATTCATAAGGTGTTGTTGCAAAACAAAATGTTAAACCAAAGAGAATACAAATATGTAAAACTGATGGAGAAAGATGTCTGAATTAAAACTCTATTTAAAATTATTGTTTATTTTTGAAAAGGGCTCCATTTTTTTCTGTGGAAAACCTAAGATGTAAAGTCCAGGCCTTACATTAAAAATTATTATTAATGTATGTCTAGAAAACAGTTGAATAAAACCAAAAAAACTGATAAAACATTAATAAGATTGAATGAAGAATATTGTCCAGATTAGTAAAAATTAATTTCCTTTATACATTATTCATTTGACATGATTCATAATCCTAATGCAGTGATCCTGAAGTGCTGGTATCCATTTTGCCATTTGACGTTTTCAGTTCACACAGCTTTTTGATTGTCTCGGCAATTCTGTCAAAGTCATCTGACCCCGAGATCTCTATAGAAAACATGGGAGTGGGTTGGCATCCCAGCTGAAATGATGAAAGCTGAAATGATGAAAGCTAATTGTGATGTATTTGAAGTAGAATTATTAATCACAGCAATGTATTCCTTTTCCTATCATACTGTGGTCCAATTAGCTCATATTTTAGATTCTGACAGATTCCCAGACCTTTTTATT